ATAAAAAAATATATATATATAAATAAATATAAATGGATATATCCATTTCGATTTGGTGTTTTATATATATATATATGCACTATTAATTTTAAGCACATGGTACCTTTAAAACCAAATTTTAATTACATGTATAAAATATATTATGTCTAATAAATAAAATATACATGTTCAGACGATTTGGGAAAATAATATGAAAATATAATTAATTTATAAAATTATTTCAAATGTTATATTTGTTATAATTAGTTCATTATATAAATTAATATAATTTTCGTCGCTTATCACCTTAGCATGCATTTATTGTTTGTTCCTTTATTAATATATAATAAATATATATACAATTGGAGTGTTTTTCTGCATTTCTTGTATATCTCTTTATTATTATTTATGAATGAATAAATAAGACGGCAATATTTATGACCATGATCATTAAATGCATTGAGTCATAAAAGCGGGATAATAAATAAAATAAAATAAAATAAATAATATAAATAATAAGAAGAATAATAATAAGAATAATAATAATAAGAAGAATAATATGCAGAATGGATATTATGATAGTGTGCATATATTAATATGTGCACATATATATATATATATATATATATATATATATGTTTGTATTTATTGATTTATTTTATAATACACGATATAATTATTTCCATTTTATTATTTTTTTTTTTTTTTTGTACCCGCTTTTTAGATCACCGAATTGCTTCGATTCCAAACCTCAAAATCTGGAGACGAAATGATCGGATTAAAAGAATACGTAGACAGAATGAAGGAAAACCAAAAAGATATTTACTATATCACAGGTGAATCCATCAATGCTGTTTCTAACTCTCCATTCTTAGAAGCTTTGACCAAAAAGGGATTTGAAGTTATCTATATGGTTGATCCTATTGATGAATATGCAGTACAACAATTAAAAGATTTTGATGGTAAGAAATTAAAATGCTGTACTAAAGAAGGTTTAGATATTGATGATTCAGAAGAAGCCAAAAAAGATTTCGAAACCTTGAAAGCTGAATATGAAGGATTATGTAAAGTTATTAAAGACGTATTACACGAGAAAGTTGAAAAAGTTGTTGTAGGACAAAGAATTACAGATTCTCCATGTGTATTAGTTACATCAGAATTTGGATGGTCCGCAAACATGGAAAGAATTATGAAAGCTCAAGCATTAAGAGATAATTCTATGACTAGCTATATGTTATCCAAAAAAATTATGGAAATCAATGCTCGTCACCCAATTATATCAGCATTAAAACAAAAAGCTGATGCAGATAAGTCAGATAAAACTGTTAAGGATTTAATCTGGTTATTATTTGATACCTCTTTATTAACATCTGGATTCGCTCTTGAAGAACCAACTACCTTTTCTAAAAGAATCCACAGAATGATTAAATTAGGTTTATCAATAGATGAAGAAGAAAACAATGATATCGATTTACCACCACTTGAAGAAACTGTAGATGCAACCGATTCTAAAATGGAAGAAGTTGACTAAAGCCTTTGTATTATAATATATTAATGTAGTTACAATAGGGTGTACAAAAAAAAAAAAAAAAAAAAAAAAAGAAAAGATATATATATATATATATATATATATTATCTGTCATTTTACCATCACCCCTATATACATATATATATTTAAATATTTAAATATTTATATTTTTCTTTTATTTTTCCATAAAAGAAAATTAAATATAAATTTATACCTTTTATTTGAATTACCATTTGTATAAAATATAAAAAAGAAAAAAAAAAAAAAAAAAAAAAAAAAGTAATATTTAAATAATAAAGATAAAATATACATAAAAAAAAAAAAAAAAAATTAAAAAATAAAATTAACACAAATAACAAATTAAACATTAATTGAAATAATTTCATATACACACACAAACATATATATATATATATATGTGTTTATATATTTATGTATTTATATATTTATGCATATAAAATAAATTACCAACTTATGTGTATTCATATATATTTTTACATATGTATTGAAAGACTTTACTGAGACATGAAATATCCTATAATCAAACGTTTATAAGTTCTAATTATGTGTAAAGCATAAAATATAGTTTTTGTCTAATTTAATTCCTTAAAAGGTATGTGTAAAAAATATAGTAAGATGGGTAAATTATAATTTTTTTTTTTTTTAAGTTTTTTCTTTGATAAAATAAAATAAAATAAAACAAAACAAAATAATATAATATAATATAATATAAGTGTAAGAATATATAATTCCTTCCAAATACAAATGATTAAATTTAAAAATTAATTAAAAAAAAAATTAATAATAGTATTATTTTAAGTGTATTTAATTCACCAAATAAGGTTGAATTATGTAAGCACAAATAAATAAATAAATATATATATATATATATATATATATATTTATATTTTATTTTTATTTTTTTTTTTCTTTTTTGCAACCCCTATTATTCATTTTTCTCATTTGATAATATACTTTCATTTTGTTTCCTTAATATTTCTTTTAAGTCATTAATTAAAGCATTTTCTCTATTAGCTCTCTCTTCATAATTATACATTGCTAATGCTCTTTGTTCTTCTGCACTATATACTTGGTTTTCTTTTCTCATACGAATAGCATTCATTCTTTTATGTCTTGATCCACTCATAACGTAACCAAGGCTTTCAAAATTTTCTATAGCTTCAGCAGATAAACCAACTTCTCCTCTTCTTGGTATTCTCTTACCTTTTTGAACAAACTGAGCTATTGCTTGTCCTTCTCCAGGCATCATAGCAACACCATAATCTATTTGTTTTGTAGCTAGCTTTACATTTACATCTAATGGTTTAGGACCTATACTTTCATTGTCTGATGAATCATCTGACTCCATATCATTCACTTGGTCATTCTGTTTATATGTATAATATTTATCATCAATATTATTTTCAGTATATTCTTCTTCACCTATTTTTTCTTTTCTTTTAATTTTTTCCTTTTCCTTTATTTTCTTCTTCTCTTTATGCTTATTTGAATTTTCTTTACTATTTTGACTGATGTCACTTAAATGGTTATTATTTTTCTGTATTAACTTTTTATTATTATTAACCTTTTTTTCTTCTTCCTCTTCTTTTAATTTATAATGATTTATCAAATCTTTATTATTATCTAATGAATCATATCCTTCGCAAAGAAAGGATAAAGATGTTGCTGACGTAGAGGATCCTTCTTCATTTGAGGATTCATTAGATTCGTTTTTTGTTTTATCTCTACTGTAAGTATCTGAAGATGATTCTTCCGAATGATGTTTATTTTTTTTGTCTTTTTCTCTATTTTTCTTTTCCTTTTTTTTATGCTTTCTTCTATCTCTTGATTTATACTTTTTTTTCTTCTTCCTATGGGATTTATCTTTGGATTTATGTTGTTCATTATGTTTGTGTTTATGTCTATGTTTATGGTCATGTTTATGTTTTTTTTTATCAAGATCTTTTTTGACTTTTTCAACACTACCACTTGAACTTTTATTAGAATTTTTTTCATAAGATGTGCACGACAAGAAAATGGATGCAGAATCATCTGATAATGAGCGCTCATTTATTCGTTTTTCAGTTTTTTTTCGTTTTTCATTTTTTTTTTTGTTTTCCCTATGTTTTGTTTCATTTCCTGATTTTACTTCTTTTACTTCTTTTTCGTCTTCTTCAGAAAGGCTAACAAAATTTTCCCACGTTGTTGGAGATAGAGAACTAGACTTTCTAAATATTTTATATTCATCAAAAGGTAAACTAAATCTATAATCATTTTTTTTTTGTAACCAGTTTGTGTAATTATTCCATGATTCTTTTGTAGTATGATATCCTAAAGGTATTCTATAATATTTTTTATCGATTCTTTCTTTTGTTATATTGTTATATAAATATTTTGAATATTTATCTGTGTCTGTTTGATTATAATAAGTTATATGATCTCTGTGCTTTTTTATCTGTTTATTATTTAAATCATCATCATAATATTTGAACTTACGACGATCATTATTATTATTAAATTTAGATTGTGTATGGTTATCATATTTATATGTTTTTTTTAATTTACTTCTTTTATACGATGAATTTTCATTATACGAATCATGCGAGCGACTCTTCCTATGATTCTTATAATTACTATTATAACTATTACTATTACGAATACTATTACTATCACTATTATGAATACTATTACTATCACCTTTAATAATAATATTATTTATCTTTTTTTTTTTTTTTTTTTTTGTTTCCTTCAAACTAAAACTGGAAGAATAACTACACGATCTTCTTCTTTTGTTATTATTATTTCTCCTTTTATCTTTATAGTAATCCATATAACTATTATTACTAGATGAATGTTTTTCTTTTTTTTTGTAATGACTATATCCTCTTTTATTATAAAGACTATTATTCTTACTATCAATACTTTTACTTGGATAATATTTTTTATCATTATATTTTATACTATTATTTTTTGAATAGCTAGGACTTGTACTTTTTTTATTATTATTTTTTTTTTTTGAATAATGTTTATTAATATCCTCATTTTTCGATTTACATATCAAATTATTATTATTTTTTAGATATTTATTATCATGTCCTTCATCATTTTCTGACTTATCTTCATCATAAATTTTATGTTCTCTTTTATATTTTTCTAATCTTCTTCTAATTTCTTCTCTAGTTTTTTCTTTATCACTCATCTTAGCTAGTTGAACAATTTCATTTTTATTCATACTGTCATTTTGTTTAGAAACATTACTCTTCCACATTTTTAATTTCTCTTTAAGTTCCAAGTGTTTTTTGTCTACATCTTTTACTTCTTTATCTTCTACATTTTCTTCCGTTTCGTCATTTTTATGGCTAGCTGTTAAGGATACTTTCTTTTCTTCTGAAATATATTCAGCTTTTTTTGAAGAATATGATTCCTCTTCTTTTATAGTCGGCACATCACTAATCATTGAAATTAATGAAAAGTTTATACATGAAATTATTTATTTTATTTTTTCTCAAAATTAAATAAATAAACATATATAAATAAAAATGAAATATTATATATATATAATATATATATATATATATGTATGTTTATTTATTTATATATTTTTTTTTTTTTTTTTTGCATTTTATAATATTATATTATAATTTTATATAATAAAAAATATACATTTATTAATATTACAATAATTACTATTTTTTATATTTTACATAACAATTTTAATGTATATTTCAAACCATGTATTTTTTATAAAATAACAATATAACAAAAAAAAAAAAAAAAAAAAAAAAAAAAAAAAAAAAATTATAAAATAAAAATTTTCACTTAATAAGATAAATACATCTTTTAAAACGTTAGAAATTTTTTTATTAATCTTTTCTCTTTTTTGTAATTGATAATATATTTATGTTATATTTATGAAACAATATAGATTATTATATTTCATTATTTTCCTACTTGA